CTCTTCGCTAAAGTAGGGCTCTGTTTCCAGGGTGGAGGGTGCACTGTTCTGAGCTTCAGGGGTTTTTTGATGCTGTTTTCAGAGGTACTTCTAGGGACCTATAAGTTTTCAGTTCTTCCAAGGGGATATGATCTAAGAAGAGGTACGTTCATTACTCTTCTGGCCTGTGCTCTGGTCTGTGAGTGACCACAAGCACTCTTTTCTGCCCTGAAACTGTGACAAGGGTCTCCACTCCACTGTGACTGCAAGCTGTGGTGTTCCAGTGCTCCTCCTTGCTTTGGGACTGCCACCCAGGACTGTGACCCAGATCTGAGTATGGGCAAAGCAACAGAGTCCTACATCAGTGCTAGCAAAGAGATGCCTGTGATCTCCTTCTGATCAGTTGCTTGACCCCCTTACCATCCATGGACTGAGAGCTCCAGAAGCAGCCGCTGCTGATTCAGTGGCTCGCAAGGTCTGCTCCTGGTTTGCTGGGACCCAGTCTATGCTGGCACAGTCTGTACTGGACTATGCTCTATTCTCATCCAGGTGCAACAGACCTTTCCTGCCAACCTTCTAAGTTGTCTTTGGCTGGAAAACTATTACCCCATCTTTTCACTTCAGGAATTGTTTTATGATATTTTTGAAAGGTGTTTGGAGGGGTTTTGGGGAGAGCTCAGGGGAGTCTATGCCTTTTCTCCACCATCTTGGCTCCACCTCCCTCACTCCTTTTTAAAATATCTTCATACCTTTGTTGCTAAATGGTGTTCAGGATAGGGCACCTGTATCCAGATAGTTGGAAGTATATGCTGAATTTGTCACTGGCCACAACTTCTCCCTCTGCTGGACAAGCAGCAGCTACTTGCCCTGATAGGAATATATCCACAGACAGTTGTCATCTCAAGCTGGTGACTTGGCTCTCTACACCCAGTCTTTGTCCTCAGTGACAGCCCGTTCACAAGCCACAACCTCCAGCTGGTATACAAGATGACAACACTTGCTGTGGTTGCTGGCGAATGTCACTAGTTTCTAGTGACCATCACTCTCTTGATCGGATAGTTGCTGAGCTCTATTCAGGCTGGTGCCTGTATGCAAGATAAAGGACTTGCTTGAGTCTGCATGGGCTGGCACTGGTACATGTAGGAGGCAGCTGACCAAGTCTATTGTCAGGCAACAAGTACTGTGCTAAGTGCTGAAGTTACAAGGAAAGGCAAAAGACAGTCCCTGCCTGCCCTCAAGGAGCTCCCAGTCTAATGAAGGAGACACTGTGCAATAGCTATGTATGATCGAGGTAGATGAAAGCTTGTTCGTATTTGTGTATCTATCATCAATCATTTCTTGCCATTCATTCTGTTTATGGGTCCCTTCAATCACACAGGCATGAATGAGATCAGTACTTTAGGAACAGCAACAGCATTCTTTTCTTTTTTTCCCAATTACACATAAAAACAAATTTTAACATAAGTTTAAAAAAAACTAGTTTCAAATCCCTCTCTCCCTCTCCCTCTCCTCTACATTCATTGAAAAGATAAGCAATGAAATGTAGCAATACAATTCTTTTTTCCCCACTTAATAGTATTTCATTTTTTCCAATTATATGTAAAATAGTTCTTTATATTTACTTTTATAAGATATTGAGTTCCAAATTTTTTTTTCTCCCTCCCCAAGATGGCAAGCAATCTGATATAGGTTATGCATATACAATTAAACATATTTCCATATTACTCAAGTTGTGAAAGAGGAATCAGAACAAAAGGGAAAAAATCACAAGAAAGAAAAAAAGGAGAGAAAATAGTATGCTTTGACCTGCATTCAGACTCCATAGTTCTTTTTCTGGATATGAATAGCACTGTCCATCATAAGTCTTTTGGAACTGTCTTAGATTCTTGCATTGCTGAGGAGAGCTAAGTCTATCAAAGTTAGTCATCACACAACGTGGCTGTTATTGTGTACAGTGTTCTCCTGGTTCTGCTCACTTTACTCAGCATCAGACCATACAAGTCTTTCTAGGTTTTTCTGAAGTCAGCCTGTTCATCATTTCTTATAGCATAATAGTATTCCATTGCATTCATATTCCATAGCTTGTTCAGCCATTCCCCAATTGATGGGCATCCCCTCAATTTCCAATTCTTTGCCACCATAAAAAGAGCTGCTATAAACATTTGGGATACAGCCCTAAGAGTGCTATTGTTGGGTCAAAGGGTATGCACATTTTTATAGCCTATAGGGCTGTAAACTATAGGGCATAGTTTCAAATTGCTCTCCAAAATAGTTGGATCATTTCACTCCACCAAGAATGCATTGGTGTTTCAGTTTTCCCACATCTTCCCCAACATTTATCATTTTCCTGTTTTGTCATGTTGACCAATCTGATAGGTGTTACGTGGTACCTCAGAGTTGTTTTCATTTGCATTTGTCTAATCAATAGTGATTTGGACCATTTTTTTCATATGACTATAGATAACTTTAATTTATATCCTTTGACCATTTATCAATTGGGGAATGACTTGTATTCTTATAAATTAGACTCAGTTCTCTATATATTTTAGAGATGAAGCCTTTATCACAGACACTGGTTGTAAAAATTCTTTCCCGGCTTTCTGCTTTCCTCCTAATCTTGGTTGCATTGGCTTTGTTTGTGTGAAATCTTTTCAGTGTAATGTAATCAAAATTATCCATTTTGCACCTCATAATGTTCTCTATCTCTTGCTTGGTCATAAATTCTTCTGTTCTCCATAAATCTGACAGGTAAAACTATTCCTTGCTCTCCCAGTTTGCGTATAGTATCAGCCTTTATATCTAAATTGTGAACTCATTCTGACTTTATTTTGGTATATGGTGTAAGATTTTGGTCTATGCCTAGTTTCTGCCATACTCTTTCCCAGTTTTCCCAGCAGTTTTTGTCAAAGAGTGAGTCCTTATCCCAGAAGCTGGGGTCTTTGGGTTAATCAAGTAGTAGATTACTACAGTCATTGACTACTGTCTTGCATACCTAACCTATTCCACTGATCCATCACTCTATTTCTTACTAGTACAAAGTAGTTTTGATGAATACTGCTTTATAATACAAGCAATATAATTCTTAAGGAATTTTTTCCTTTTTTAAAATTTAGGGGCAGCTAGGTGGCGCAGTGGATAGAGCACCGGCCCTGGATTCAGGAGGACCGGAGTTCAAACGAGGTTCAGACACGTAACACTTACTAGCTGTGTGACCCTGGGCAAGTCACTTAACCCCCCCCCAAAATTTAGTATTTTATTTTCCCCCAATTGCACGTAAAAACAATTTTTAACATTTGTTTTTAAAACTCTGAGTTCCAAATTCTCTTCCTTCCTCTCTCCCCACTCCCCTCATTCAGAAGGCAAGCAATTCAATATTGATTATACATGTGTAGTCATGCAAAACATATTTCCATATTAGTTGTATTGTGAAAAAAAACACAGACCCCTTCAAAAAAAACTTAAGAAAAATGAAGTAAAAAAAGTATGCTTCAATCTATTCAGGAATCATCAATTCCTTCTCTGATGATGGATAGCATTTTTCATCGTTAAGTCCTTCAGAGAAGAATTTTTTATAATAATTGCCAAAACCTAGAAAAGTGCTTAATCTTAAAGGTTTTAGTTGGTGTTCAGTTGCTTTCAATTGCGTCTGAACCATTTCAACCTTTAACCCCCTTGGGATCCACTTCTGATGTTGAAGAACCTGTACTCTTGGGATGCTCGCTGTCCCCACTTGCCTAGATTCTTCCACGAGCCTTTATCCACAAAGCCTGCCTAGGAAGTTCAGGGTGCAGGTATTGGGTCCCAGCTTTGCTTGGTAGTATCCTCTTACTTGAACAATATGGAATTGGTTCCAATTAATGATGACATTCCATAGACAGATGGTAGATCTAGACACTGCTCTGTTGATGTCAGCCACTTCCTTGGGAAATTTCAATGTAGTTTTCTCAGCTTCTCAGAGGCTGACAGGTGGTGCAGTGGGTAGGGTGCTGGGCTCGGAGTCAGGAAGACCCAAGTTCAAATCTGGCCTCAGACACTAGCTGTGTGACCCTGGACAAATCACTTAATCTCTTTCATCCTTAGTTTCCTCAACTGTTAAATGGGAAAATAACCTCACAGAGTTTTTCTGAGGATCAAATAAGATTGTATTTATAAAACTCTTAGCATAATGCCTGGCACATAGCAGGTGCTTAATAAAGGCTTGCACCCTTCCCCTTCGCTCCTTATATGTCTCTTCCATAGTATCTGGAACATGACAGTCACTGGTGCTCAACTGTCCAGGCTGACAGGGCATATTCTACAGGCTTCATCTTTAAAGTCACCTCGGTGTGGGTCCCTGGGAGTCTAGGTTGAATAGAACCATGAAGAATCCAACCATTTCTTAAGTCAGTTACAATTGATAAGCATTTATTAAGCACTGACTGTGTGTCAGATATTGTGCTAAGCGCTGAGAATACAACAAGAGGCAAAGGACCTTTGCTCTCAAGGAACTTACAATTCATTGGGGGGGAGACAACATGCAAACAAACACGTACAAAGCAAGCTATATACAGGATTAATAGAAAATAATTAGCAGAGGGAAAGCATTGAAATGAAGAGGGTTGGACAGGGCTTCCTGTAGAAGGGGAGATTTTATTTCATTTTTTTGGGTTTTTTTTTTTTAGGCAATTGGGGTTAAGTGAGTTGCCCAGGGTCACACAGCTAGTAAGTGTCAAGTGTTTGGTCTGAGGCCGAATTTGAACTCAGGTCCTCCTGACTTCAAGGCCGGTGCTCTATCCAGTGTGCCACCTAGCTGCCCAAGAATCAGTTTCTCAGGGAGTTATAACAGTTACTAAATCTTGTTTTAATTCATTTTGTTAATGTGAACTGTGAGTCTTTTGTGTTTAACATTTCTTTTATGTGTAGGAATAAATTGCCTGTGACATGGCTGATATATATTGTATATTGAATACTCTTTTACTTCCCGTTTTTGGGAAGGCCCTACATGTGATAATCTAAGCCAGGGCTTCTTAAACTTTTTCCAGCGTCCAGCTGAGCTGAAGTAAGCACCAGGCCCAGGGACCTCGGCTGAACCACCTGTCCAGCAAAGATATCGTGTCCAGGGGCAGTGAATGGAGGATATGAAAAGAAGAGAAAGACATTGGGATCCTGTTGTGCTGAAAGTGTGTGTGTTGCCTTGTCCAAATGTGTTCCTTGTGGGGCAGCTAGGTGCTGCAGTGGATAGAGCACTGGCCTTGAAGTCAGGAGGACTTGAGTTCAAATCCAGCCTCAGACCAAATATTTGACACTCACTAGCTGTGTGACCCTGGGCAAGTCACTTAACCCCAATTGCCTAAAAAAAATGTGTTCCTTACATGTGTGCCTCTCTAATAATGTATTCTGTTTGTGCCTACTCTTCCCACTGATGCTATATCGATTTGTGGGAGAGGGAGCCATGGCTTCCTGTGGGAGATGTTTCATAGCTACTGTTCTTACTAAGCTATTTCCATTAAAAACAAACAAACAAACAAACCCTTTGCTTTGAGTCGATTGTATCTTTTGGATGACTCTTAGAGTCAAGTGCATCAGTGGGGGCTCATGAGCTAGTGTTTTAGAAGTGGGAACCCACTGCCTCCAAAGCACCTTTCTAGGATTATTGCTCACTAATCTTTTTTTGACACACTGAAAATTCTAGTCATCTTGGCCTATTTGCTGTTCCCCAAGCTAAGCATTTTGTCTCCCACCTCTCTCTGCCTTTGCACAGGCCACCCTCCTTGCCTGGAATGCATACCCTGCTTACCTCTTAGAAACTTCAGCTTTCTTCAAGGCTCAGCATAGGGGCTACCTCCTAGAGGAGACCTTTTCTTATCCCCCTACTTACATTTGCTCTTTTTCCTTATTTTCTACTTAAAGAACACTTAGCATAGTGCCCAATAGAAAGTAGCCATTCAACGAATGTATGTTTTCTTCCCCTTCTCCTACTACATATTTACACATGTTCTCAATGGTAGAGTGTAACCTTCTTGAGGTCTGGGACCATTTTTCATTTTTATCGTTGTACACCCATTCCCTGGGTTGCTCTGGAGATAGAAAAATAAAAATGAAAATCTTTGCCCTAGAGAGAATCCAAGGAGGGCCTCCATTCAGTTGGGTGGACTCTTTATGATAAAACTACGAGAGGACACAGGCAAGAAATGGAGTGGAAATGCGGTTTAGCAAAACTAGCCAGAAAAATGAACTGAACCTGACAAGATAGACAGTAAGATAGATAGATAGACAGGTAGACAGACAGACACATGGATAGATATAAATAGACAGATGGATAGATGGATAGATACATAGACATATGGATAGATGGATAAATGAACGGATGGATGGACAGATGCATAGATATACAAATCTACATATATAAGAATCTACATACATACACTGTGTGTTGTAGATAGCTACAGAGATAGATAAATAGATAAGTGGATGGGTGGATAGATAGATATATGAATCTATCTATTATATATATAATGAGAGCCAACATATATACACATATAAGTACATATACATACATATGCACATGTATACATATATGTGTATTATATATTTTTATATATATGCACATTCTTGAACTGTCTATTATAAAACTGCTGGTCCATGTGTGATATGGATAGGTGCATACCTGGTCTGAGCTCTGGAAAGCCCCATTCCATGTCTCCAGAGGGAGGATTATTAGTCTGGACTTTATCTACCATACTTCAGCTTCCCTATAATTCTATCAAGTTGATTGAAGAATGTCTTGGCATCTTCTAAAGGAATAAAAAAATGGAGAGAGAGAAGAAACACACACACACAGAGAGAGAGAGAGAGAGAGAGAGAGAGAGAGAGAGAGAGAGAGAGAGAGAACAGAGGCAAGCACAAACTTTTAAATAGCAAACAAGGGAGATTTTCCCAGAGTCACAGATGCATGGGGAAGCTGGCCCCCACCATCTGCCTTGACCACAATCCTAAAGACTGTTAAGGGTGGACTTCCCTCCCCCCGCCCCCACAACACACATGCCTTCTCTCTTTTTAGTTTAGTTGAAATCTTACCTATCTTCCTAAAGAATATTGTGTATTGTGTATTGTATTGTGTATTTATTGTTCTATTCCAGTTTCTCCAATTTCTGCTGTTTACTAATCACTCTGATGAAAAGGTCTACTAGATTTTCATGATTGTCTTTTATATAACCATAGTTTGGCAGAAGACAAAAGGAACCAGGGAAAGCAGCTTTTATTTTAAACTTCTAAAGCTGTCTATAAAATGTTTTCCTCAATTTTCTGCTTTCCTTGGCTACATTGGTTTTATTTGTATAAAATCTTTTTAATTTAATGCAATAAAAATGATCCATTTTATATCCCACAATGCTCTCTATGTCTCGTTTATTAATAAATCTTCTCCCATCCATAAATCTGACAAGTAAAGTCTTCCATGTTCTTCTGATCTACTTATGACATTTCCCTTTATGTCTAAGTCGTGTATCCATTTTGACTTCATCTTGATATATGATGTAAGATATTGGTCTATACTTAGTTTCTGCTGGAATTGAGGCATATTTTAAAAGGGAAGAATAATAATCACTTACTTTGTGGGAAAAGGGGGAAAAAAGATGACCTAAAATCCCCTTACTTGTAAACTTGTGAGGTTCCTTGGGACCTTCCACTTAGCCAAGGTCATAAAATCTTATTGGCTTTGTGAAATAATTTGCCAAATGTTGCAAAACTCTAAAATAATGCATTGGTTTACTGAAAAAATGATCTCTTTCCTATAAACACTCCTTACCAAAGGGGGAGGGGGACTTATAAGATTGTATATAGCATAGAAGTAATTTATATGATAATCTGTGGTTATGAAAGTTATGAAATTATACCTGGAATAGTATATGTTGAAGTTACATCTTGAGCCAATTTAATCTCATCAGACTCCACTTTTAAAGATTTATTTTGCCCTAGGGATTAATATATAATGCTTTTAGAGATTGATATCTGGTAGTCTGGAAACTTATACTAAGTAGCCAGTGTTTTTCTGGGTTTTGAGTGAACTGTCATATATTCACTATCTATATGGAATTCCAGAATGTGATTATTTTCTTAATTTCGAATAACTGATTTTCATTTTTTAATTAATTTATTTTTAGTTTTCAACATTTACTTTCATAAGCTTTTGAGTTTTAAATTTTCTCCCCTTCCCTTCCTGCCTCGTTCCCCAAGATGGCGTGCAATCTGATATAGGCTCTACATTTACATTCCTATTAAACATATTTTCACATAAGTCATGTTGAAAGAAGAATTAGAACCAATAGGAGGAACCACAAGAAAGAAGAAACAAAACAAAACAACTGTTTCTAGCCCTAAACTGTGATTAGTGAAACTTTCTATTTGAGGTAAAATCTCTTGGGACTGTAATTTGATGTTTTTCTGAGTTTTGAATTCAAGTGTAACTGTCTGAATGATCATTAAGTCAGTAATCCACTCAAGGTAGATGCCACAAGCTACTCAAAGGGAGTGTGATTCAAGAACTGCTACAGGTAGATGCCTGTGACTGGGAAAGTTGAGGAGATGATCTTGCATAGGTAAGAGCTGCTTGATTCATTTTCGCATTGTGTTATTTTCCTTTTTGAACAAGAATGTTCCCTACTTGGTTAATCCTCAGCCTGGCTGTGGTACCCTATGAATAATGCGGAACTCTGCTTTATGATTGGCTGTTGCAAAAAGTTAACTCTGATTCTTACAGAAATCAAACAGAACAAAAGATGCTTTATCCTATCACACCTAAATTAAGTCATTCTGTGTCTTTAGACTTAGACCCTGAAAGAACAGTCCTGATGTTGTTATAACATCCCTCCTTCTTCCTTTCATAATAAATCTCTCTAACCACAGAAGGTAAAACTGTTATTTTTTAATGTAATGAATCCTGTTGCTGCAATACCCCAGTACCTCTGAATTTCTATAAGGGGTGCAAGCATGAGGTACCTTACTTTGATGTTCTTCCTATAGCTCTGTTGTTCATAAGACTAGCTTCATAAGGTCTAAACTGTTTTTTTTACCACGTGAACTAATTATTGGAAGGCTATTTGTCAGGTTTTACTAAATTATACCAAGTCCTATCACCAGCAGGATTTAGAAGCATCACCTAGAGAATCTCCACAAGTAACCTGGAACCTGGAGATAATCAAGGAAATGTCCCCACAAACCTGCCCTGATCTTTGCACAGATGTTTGAGAGATGCCCAAGAGATGCTTGCCAGATTCCTGAAAACCATGGACACTGCCAAAGGACTTGATACCCCTAAAGCTACAACTTTATTGGATTTCCTTGTTTACCCTTTATTGCAATTTTGCTTATTTTATTAGTTCTATGTGTATTATGGACCTGTTATCTATTCTGCAAGCTACTTATCATTTCAGCTTGGGCTGATACTTATTTGGGAATTGGTAAAAATTATTTTGTGAGACTATCAATAATCTCAAGTGGTGACTGGGGAGTAATGCCACCCCTGGATTTTTGCAAGGTCTCTCCTCCAAGCCTGGCCACATCTATCTTGGGGTAGATACTTGTTCACCCAAGATCAGGAAAGGAAAACACAACAGAAGAGGTATCCAAGGGTCTAAGTACAAACTTTAGCTTCCACCTGGGCAGAATTGCCATGACGCTGGGATGGAAAACCATCCCTGGAAGTCTCAGAGTTGTAAGATGACATGTAGTGGGTTGAAGGAAGACAGTCTCTCATTTGAATGGATGCAGTACCCTCTTCCCTGCTGTTGTCACAGAGTAGGGGGAGGACCAGAGAATTATTCAGGATTTACCAAAGTTCTTTCAGTGTTTGATCAGCACAGGAACAGAGTCAACTTGGAAGTTCACCAGCTGATGCGCCCATAGGCTGAGCCACCATGGTGTCTGCTGGGAGCAAACAAGGAGTATCTGTCTGTACTCTGTAAAATCCACATTACTCTCCTAATTAGAGTTAGATGATCAAATCTGCTGATGGCTCTTTGTACATTTCACTATAGCTAATGTACTTTCAGGATGGGGTAACAGATCAACCTCAAAGGTATTGAAATATTTGTTCTGTATTTGTATGTGCCAGTGGCCAGTATCTGTCCTTTCCCTGACTTAGAATCAACAATGTATATTATCGGCCTTTTTTTTTTTTTTGCTTTTTGGTGAGGCAGTTGGGGTTGTGACTTGCCAAGGGTCACGTAGTAAATGTCAAGTGTCTGAAGCTGGATTTGAACTCAGGTCATCCCAACTCCAAGGCTAGA